CCATTTCTATGTAGAGTTTTTAGGCTATCTTGAATTCACAGTGTCACAAGGAATTGGGCAGACTGGTTGGAAGTTAAAAGTGTCTGTGCAACAGAGAACAGTGGATTTTCGTAATCCATTTTCTTATCCGGAAAAAGGTATGTTTTCCAATAGATTTTTGCCAGGTGTTAAATGTCTATCTTGACAAGAAAATTGTGGGTTGTTGATAGTTCTGGTGGGTTACCACTTAAATCCTCTACCAAGAATTTTTCTTGGCCTTTGACGGACGAAACTTGTTATTGATGAATTTAGGGGCGTTTGTGCTCCAATATTTGTGAAGAATGTATTATGAAATAGTTATTGATGTTAAAATATATGGTTAAAAAAGAAGAAAAAGTTTGTAATTTACGTGTAATATTATTTTAATAAAAAATATGTAATTAAAAATGAGTACTGTAAGAAAAATAATGTGGTACGATGATATACAAATAAAGCCTTAAGAGTCACTTGTCCGAAATCTATTATCGATTAAAATAATACAAAGTAAATACAACTTTCCTCGAACACATAAATATATATAAAATACAACTCTCCTCTAACATATAAAAAAGCTTGTGCTCTAGTAACAAGTTAAAATTTTTTAAAGACATACTATAAGAGCGAACAAGTTTTTGAATCTTGCCCCTCGGAATATAGCCCAATGGTGCAAAAAGTAGGAGTGAGGTAGTCTCAACCTTACTGGCAACCGCAGTGTGAGGATTCGATTTCTGAGATATGAAATTGGACTATTTGTGAGCACCAGTGTACGGACAAATTCTTGTTCTCTGACCTGTTGAAACACATTCCGCAATTTGCCTCCCTCACGATTCTCCAGGGGTGAGGCGATAGAGGCCCTCAAGGTTGAGATTTAACCTTTTTGAACAAGTTTTTGAATCCATTTATTGAAAAATTTCACGTCTGAAGAAAAATGATTTTGACTACAGAAATGACAGCCTTGAGAGGCACGCTCAACTCCTTTTCACGACAAAGTACACTTATTACAATGTGTTAATACAAGTGACCTAGTGTCTCAAAGAACCAGCTGAAAACCTTAATAAAACCAGTTTCGCCTTACTATTACATATATCTGCGAACAAGGAAAACTAACTTAGAAAGCATAGAAACCAAATACTTTTATGATTGAAGCAACCAAATATATTTTATCACATGATGTTATATCCAATATTCTGCGAGATAACTTTCACTAGGTTGTTTGTTCTGTATAGCAGAGACGCCAGAATGCCTCCAACTGAATATTCGCTACAAGCAGAGGGCACAGAAGTTCCATGGTATGCCTTGCAGATGTAGCTTATGAAGTTCCGATAGTCCTGCAATCAGAGAGAGAATGTCATACACAGAAATCTTACATTCACTTAGAAACATCTGGAAATCAAGTGAAGACTTATAAAAGAGCTCAAACATGCTGACATGGCCAGATGTCGTCCTCGGTTTATTTGATTACCCAGGATTAAACTCAGGCTTCAATTCCTTCCCAGGCAGGTGGTCAGGGCTGCCGAGGAGGATTGGCACTTAGAGCATGACATTTTGATAAATTATTTACTGAGAAGTGCAAAGATATGTATGGAAGCCATAGATTTGATTGATGACAAAGGATTTTTAAATCCTTAAGGTCTTATCAACGTTTCTCCACAGAGCTATACAATCGTTTTCTTAACCTTAAAAGTTTAATGTAATGATATCTTGGGAAAGAAATTAGCAACACGGAAATATATTAGTTTTAAAAGAATGGAAGTAAAGAAAAACTAACATCATAAAGTGGCTGACCGTCCACAACTACCCATGGCACGTATCGATGAGGTGGTTTAAGATTGTTTGTTTCTGCAGCATATCCTAGTTCAAGCTGCACAAAAGTAATAATTATAAAGTAAACATAAGAGCGTGGAAAAGCATCACTACAATAATCAAGAAAGGAAGGAAGAGAATATTTAGAAGCATGAAGTTCAATATAAAGCATGTGGAAAAAAACTGGGCACCGAATAAATTTAAAAGAACTGAAATTTTGAGAACTATCATTTAACATTCAGGAAGGTTCAGTGATTGTTTGATTGGCCAAAAAAAGGAAAGCAACAGAAATAGTTCTTTCCATTCAAAGTTCTATACTAAACAAGTCAACCATATTGAGCAATCTCTAGTGCCTACTCTTGATAGAAAATGCAAAATTAAGAAATAAGAACCCAACAGGAAAAAAAATTAGGAAGCACCGGCACTTTGTTGAATTACGTTTTCCAAATGGCTAAGACACAACCACTTTTCGTAGATTAAGATATTCACGTTTTATGCCTACAGATACTTCTCCAACATGATGTACAACTTCAGATGGGCATAAACATTTGCATCTCATCCAAACTGTACAATTTCAACTCATTTTGTTGCTGAAATTAAATAATAATAAACTTGCAATCTAAACGTTTGAAAGCCATACAGTTTAACATCCACCATTAGATTAAATACATCAAAGTAAATGAACATACATTGATGAATGAAAACACAGAAAAAGCTAACCTCTTTTCCACGTCCACTGTTATAACAATTAGCCACGGGATAAGGATCCAAACCCAATTTCTCAAAACATGTTTCCCATTGAGTATAGTTTCCTTGGTAAACCAGACTTTCAATGCAGTAGATAAATGGAAAGTGCTCACTCTGCATCAGTTTTTAGTGAAGAAAAACAGTAAAAAAAAGGTATACAAATCTTTATTACATTAGAAAATTGAAAACAGCCGGGAAAAATCCCTTCTACCGAAATTACATTCTCTATTGATAACATGAGACTACAATGTCAGAATTCAAGATTGTAATGAGATATACAACGCATGCTTGGCTCAACTCAAATTGTTTTCTTTTTAGTAAATAAGTAAGTTATGTAACTTTTATAGTGATTGAAATTTGGATATAAGTTAAATATTTTTTCAAGGTTACTCAAACATAATCTGAGCTAGTAGCAGCATATGTATACCATGCCGCTGAAACAGAGTTTAACAGAAGCAAGCATCCAAAACTTCCAGAATAGAGAAGCAAAAACAATATGAAGCGGTTAATTTTCAGATTCTTCCCTATTCAAAGTCTATCTGACATATTATTAATCTTTAACTTAGAAGCTAAAAAGAGATTCTTACCAAATCAGGCCAGACATCAATTGCACATGCCTCCACAGTGTTGAGTAAACATTCATATTGGCCATGCTGTAAACAAAACCAGAATCATATATAGATACAAAAAATGACATTCATATAATAGGAGGCAACAAGAACACAATCGGAATGGTTTGGTAGGGTGAATTGCATAATAAAATACACTATTAACTACAGCTAAAATTAATCTTGTTCATTATCCTGTCTACTCGTATCCAATACTGTATATTGAGCATGATGCCCCAATATGACATACTAAACAACTTTCACTTTCTATCTACAAATCGATTAAGAGCAGAGGTAAGAGAAAAAAAACAAATTCAGAACCTGGCATAAGAATGTATTGTCGCCTTGGAGTTTGGCATTGCCCCAAGGAACAAGATTGAGATCAACAATATCACTGAGTCCATTATAGAAAATTTTGCCTAAATCACCAATGATGAAATTGGCACAATAAGGGCAAAGGGTTTCGTAATAGAATCCCACTGATACTTTGTTGCAAGAAATAGGTGCAAATGAAGTAATAAATAGCAGTTGAAAAGGCAAACAGAGGTTGATCAACCGAGAATAAAAAGCCATTAGAAAGGCAAAGAAGTAGGAATATCTACTTCTGGCAATCCATGATTTTACATAATTTTCCAGATGCTTTTGAGACTCCTAGAACTGAAAAGATTAATGCTTTGCCTCAGATTCGTGGCAAAGTATTAGCAAGCCACTTCTTGAATATTCATTGGTGGAACCAAACAATTTCAACAACTTTCTTCACACTGTTTTCAAAACTTGGTTCCGTCATTTCTCAAAAATCTTACTTGGTATATTCCCACCAAAAAACAAAAACACTCAAATATATCCCCAAAAAAAAAAAAAAAAAAAAAAAGGAACACTCAAACTCTTGGAGAAGATAAACCCATTTTTTAATTGATAACTGTAAAATTAAACCCAAAAAAGCCGCAATATTTTTCTTTGGCACTCAGACTAACTTTTCCTGTGATAGCTCCAATACTCAACAGAAAAAAGGTAAAGGACGTAAGAATTGACAGATAATTCGTATTTAACTACCCTATCTAACTAATATTACGAGCAAATCAAAAAAATTTCATTCTTTTTCGACTACACATTTTTCAGAAGACACTGTTCCAACCATTAAAATTTATATAGAATGGGGACCAAATGTGGGCTTAGAGATTCAGTAACAAATATCAGTACAAGCCGCATCCTTCTGATGTCTTACAACGGAGTGCACAATTTAAAAACCCACAAATTAAATTCAAGGAAAAAGAAAGAAAGACAGTTCGATCAATCTAGCTTTCAAAAAGGTTCGATTGATGTAATCTAACCTGACAAGTGATGGTGCCATTAGCTCGAATTTTGGCGTTGCCATAAGGGATGAGCTTAAGCTGGGTTATAGCTATGATTCCAGTATCAAACAGCTTATAGAGATAGTTCACGATCAAATTGGAGCAGTAGGGACACAAGCTCTCATAGTATATCTCTAAGGTTACTTTCTCTTTCTCAGATCCGCCGCCATGAATGGAACGTCCGGAAGAAGGATTCACAATTAAACTAGAGATTATTAACAGAATCAATAGACGATTTTTCAGAGAGAGAAGTCTTCGATGAGGTTCCATGGCGATTGGAGGATTATGGTCCGTTGCTCGGGAAATACATGGAATTGATCCATTTAAGAAGGATGCCTTTGACCGGATAAAATCTACCTAAAATACCCCCAACATAAAATATATAATCAAGCCATCTTAATTTTAAAAGAGTTCAATTAAGCTCTCAAATTATTATTTTTAATTTTTTCGCCTTGTCAAAAATTGGTATCAAAGCCTAGTAACGAAACTGAAGAATATATTATTTAAAATGAATAGCAAAGATAAAATGATTTTAGAAGAATTGCAAAATATTGGTATATTAACTAATACTAATCGTATTAAATTGCAAGAATTAGCAACAAATTTAAGTACCGAATATAAATCTCTAAGTGAAGAAATAAAGCAAATTAATAATTCTCAACAATTAGTTGAAACAAAAAATAAAGTATTACAAATTCTGGTAGATGAATCTCTTAAATATGAAGAGGAAGATATTATTATAAATCAAATTTTAAAACAATATGATAATTATGCTAAGCCTTTAGGAGAACCGGACATAAATCAAGATGTCATAACTAGTATAAAAAATATGGAATCAAATTTAGAAATTGTTAATAACAATATTAAGATAGGACCGAAAATCCTATATAAACAAATTGAATCAAAATTTAAAGAATTAAAAAATAAAAAGGATTCTTATGTCTCTATTGAACCATCCTTACTGGCATATGTTATAGAAGAATTAGAAACAAAATTCTTTGAAGCTACTGGAGAAGAATTAGAAGCTTATAAACAAAGCTTAGAACAATTAACTATGCAAATTGAAAATATATATACGAATGATCCTCCACCTAAAGAAGAAACTACTGAAATTAATACAACACCTTTAAATCAACAAGTTGAAAATCGGCCGTTAACTGGAGAAACTAGTTGAATTAATATTAATACAGATTGGACTCAAGTTGAATCTGATGACTGGAATTTTGAATGGATAAAAGAACAAGAAGACTACAATTTCAGAAAGGAACCAAAAACTATATCAACCAAACATATACATCTTAGAGATAATAATCCAATAAAATTAATTATTGAACAAATTCCTACTACATGAATATGGTTAGATATTGATGATAGCAATGATAAAAGTGAAATTATTGACTCTTGGGCAAAAGCTATTGATTTAGTTGTTGCTTTTCATAAATGGAATATCACTCAAGCGTATAATTTTATAATCCACACCTTTAGAAGAATTACTTTAGATATCTGAAGAAGAACTTCTGAAGAAACTAAAAATAAAATTAAATATGGCGAAAAATCTACAACTACCATAGATGACAATGAAAGTTTAGATGCTGAAAAATTTAAAGAAGTGTTAAGACGAATTGAAAATTTTTTTAGACACCTATTATTAGGAGAAGTTATACCAGAAGCTAAAATTGATATGATTACTCAAGAAACTTTACAAGCTGAAAGAGAAATGAAACTTTTAAAAATTTGTGATATGTGTGAATTAAATGAATATACTAAGAAACTTGAAATGATATACATCAAAACATCTAAATCTATAAAAGAATGGAATCTATCAGAAGAAGATAAAAAATTATTAAATAGACATTTTCTTAAATTACCTTGGCCATGAGGTCAGAAGTTATTTGAAGATGGGAAATACATCTAAATAGCTTAAATAGAAGAAAGGTTTTTGAAATTAGTCTAAGAAATGAAAACATTTGAAAGATAGTCTTCAAACAACTATCCTTCCAAAAATACCCCTTATAAAGAAATTGCAACCAAAGTCACTACAATGTATAAAAATCTTCAAATAGGTCCTCAAGAAAATATAGATCATAAATCTTTAATAAATTTAAATCCAAATATAATACAAAATTTTATTGATCTAAAAAATGCAACAGAAAGTGAATTAAACTATTTAGAAGAAGATCTGAAAGGATTCTTTACAGAATATTTAGATCCAAAATTAAAAAATAAAAACGTTACTATAAATAATAGTACAATAAAAACAGAAAATAATATATATAAAATAATTCTTAATCTGAGAAGAAGAATTAAAGAACTAAATATAATTATTAAAGAAAAGGTATTAATAGAAAATTGTGAATTTTATAAATTCTATTGTGATATTTTAAATACCCATGAAGAATTTAATTGGCTCAAAAATATTAACCCCTCCGCTGCACACTCCGATGAGATGGTATCAGAGCCAGATTACGAACCAAAAATTATGATGAATATAGTAGATGAAGAAAATATAATTGAAGAATTTTTGAAAAAAGTCGAAAAACATAAAAAACCTAGTTATCCTTATTTACCTAAAAACACCACAAATGAAAATTTTGGGGATATACATAAAAGATTAGAGAATCTAGAACATAATCTACAAATAGGAAATGCCCTATTAGATAAAAACCTTAGAGGAAAAGATAGGATTATAATTAATCCACCCCAAGATTTTAGGATAACACAAAAAGAAAATAATAAAGGGAAAAAACATGGAGAAAAACAATATATGATATCAGATGTAGAAGAAATAGAACAAAAATTCTTAGAATCTACAGGAGAAAAGTATGAATAATATAAAAAACAGTTAGAAGAATTAACTGAAAAAATGGAAAATATAAAAATGAATATTAATCCATCCTCAAGTCATGATATAAATGTAGAATTTAGTAGTGATGAAGAACAAGATTATCCTTATGGTACCCCAATACCTGATAAGGCTGATATTAATCAATATAGAAAAATACAGAAAAGATACACTGGAAATGTAAGAAAACAATCCATAAAAGAAATAAATCCAATGAAATCTTATAATGAACCAATCCAAACAACATGAGTATGGTTAGATCTAGACTGTGTAGATAAAGATAAAGCTATTGAAACATGGATAAAAAGTACAGATTTAGCTATACAATTTAACAAATGGGAAACATATACAGCTTTTGAATTTATAGAACATACATTCAGAGGAATTGTTTCTGAATGGTGGAGAAAATTACCAGAAACTATCAAAGGAAGAATAAAATACGGAACAAATAGAACTGAGGTATTAGATAATAGAAATACTCTAAATGAACAAAATATACAGGAAATATTAAAAAGATTTGAAAAGATCTTAAGAACAGAATTTTTAGGAGATATGTATGCTTCTAATGAAGAAGAAAGAAAACAAGATGAATATAACCAATGAATGATTTTAATGGAAAATTTAAAGATATGTGATATGTGTGAGTTAGAAAGATATACATGTAAATTTGAAGAATTATACTATATACTTAATCAAGGAGATTATCAGGAAAACAAATCTATTTTAAGGTCTTATTTTACAAAGTTACCATTCCCATGGGGAATCAAGTTACTAAAAGAATATGAGAAATTACTACCTCTAGGAAAAGAGGAAGGAATTGAAATAGATAGCCTTGGAAGTAGAATTGAATTTACAAGAAGAATGATAGGAATGTGGTGCAGAGAAGCACTAGAAAATAAGAAAGCCTATAAAATAAGAAAAAATTCATTATGTTGTTATAAAGATAATGGCCAAGTTGAACAATTTGGATGCCATAAGAAGAAATATAAACCATATAAGAAATATAAAAGGAAATTCAAAAACTATAAAAAAATTCAATAAAAGGAATTTTAAACCACATAAAAAATATTTTAAGAAAAGAAATTGGAATAAGAAACTTAAACCAAGAAACATTAAAAAATGTAGATGTTTTATTTAAAGTATGAATATACCAATAGAAATATACTGTATGGACAATAGAATCTTACAAGATCCTATAGATGCCCTATTAGGAACAGTTGTAGGAAACTTAGTCTATCAAAAGATAATATTTACAGTAAAATCAAATTATGCAATATCACTAAGTGATGAAAATATTGACCAAAGTTTCAATCTATATTATAGAATTGGAAATCTAAAAATGTTAAGAAGAAGTAAGGCTATTAGTATAAGTATAAAATCAATTTTTGCTTTTAGTACTAGCCATCATAACAATCTAAGAAAAATAACTGATAACATTATCATACATAAAGATTTTGAGGAATTAGCACAATACATACCTCCTAGAAAATACCAAGAATATGAAGTTACTATACCGGAACAAATAATGCTTGATTTCCATAAACAAGCTAGAGAAATTAATTCTGAAGGAAAATTAATAAGAAGAAATAGTGTCAGCTTAGAAGGAAACAATCTTATTGCAAGATTTCCCTCTAGACAAGACTCTAGGATAAGCAGACTTAAGAATTTAAGTATTGTTGAACCATCAAGTTCACAATATTACATTAAGACAAGATATGTAAACCAAGAAGGATTTAAGAAAAATCTTCTTGTCCTTATAGATACTGGAGCAGATAAAAGTCATGTAAATGCCAAGTTTGTTAATCATCTAATAGATTTTGAAATTCCAGAACCATATATATTCAAGGATTATTTAGGAAATAATCTTGAAATAAGAAAATACGTTAAATTTCCTCTTATACTTGTAGGAGAGGATCAGAAAGAATATACTAAAGAGATAATTCTATATAAAGATGAATTATATGGAGTGGATCGTTCACCTATTCTGTTAGGAATGAACTTTCTTGAGAAATATAGTCCTTATAAAATCTGCCAATGATATTTGAAAATAACAGTTGACGATAATCCAATTATCATTTCAAGAATAGATGAAAATATGAAATCATTGTTATCATGGAAAGAGTAATAAGTACTAATCCCATGAGCCCATATATTGAAATTACACTCAATATAAAAGATTATTGTAGAATTAAATTTCATGCTTACCTAGATACAGGAAGTACAGTAAGCTTATACTTACCAAATGTACTGTCATCTGAATACTGGAAATATAATTCAAAGAAAGTAGTAACTGCTACAACAGCAGGTGGAAATAAGGTAATATACAGCAAGTATGCTAATCAAGTACCTTTTCTAATTTCCTTTAGAGAAGTATTTGTTGATATAATATATATGTCAACCACAATAGGATGTGATATTTTCTTAGGACAAAATTTCCTATTAAAATATGCGCCATTTACACAATATATTAATAAGT